ATTTCGTAAATTTATGTCATTTCTGGTCATCCATAAGAGCTGTCTCCATAAATCAATAAATATCAAAGAAAGAGGAACCCTTCGTTTGAAATGCTACATTGTATGCTTGTAATATTTATTTCAAACCAGATTAATTTAACTTTAAATTTTCGAATTTTAGTCAAATATCGTGTCACAAATCTATAATTTGATTTTTAAAGAATTTAAAACTCAATAAATATGTTTGTTTACAAACTTCTTAAAAATTAAGAAAATGGCCGCTATTCAGAAAATTTTAAAAAATCGAGCAATTATTTGATATTCCAACTTATATAATTTACTTACTTGAAATAATAAATTTAATCCTTTAGCTTTCAATTAAACCTGGAATTAAATCTTCAAGAATGCTTTTTCATTTTTAAAATTTAATTTTAAAACTTAGGTATCGAAAATTCAGTGGAGGTGCCTAAATTAATCCGATTCGAAATAAATATTACTTATAGCATAAAAAAAAGTAATATACAACTATTTGTTAATGACTGGCTCTGTTTATCTGAGGTGATGATTGACAGTCGATTGAGTGACGAAGCGATGAGAGTTAGTATGGCTGACTAGAATTGACAAAAAATTTAAGAAATCTAAGTGAACGCATTTTTTTGTGGGGGCAGGGGTTAACTCCCTAGTAATTTTTGCATATGAGCATATTTTCCTCAATTATCTAATAATTTATTGACTTTTACTTACATTTCGAAGATGCTTTATGCAAAAGTAAAAAAATTAAAATGCTATAGAATTTTCTTAAATTAATTTCTCTGTAAAGAGACAAAACTCTTAGATCACGTGACTTTTCTTAATAATGTCATGTTTAGCCTTTCATAGATAAAAAGGGAATAAATTAAATAAAAAAGTAAAAAATAAAAAAATAATTTTAAAAATATAATAGTGTAACTATGTTTATTAATCTTTTCAACTTTGGATTCGTAAATTTCGTTTCTACTTAATTACTATATCACATCCAGGAAATAGCCCAATACAGAATTTTACAGAATTTTAAACTGTTATAAATTATTATAATAAAATTTTTTAAAAATATGAAAGAATTCTTGTAAAAATTCATTATTCATCGAAAAATTTTATTTCTTCAGACAATAGTGTCCTTAATATGACTTATTTACAAAAGCAATTAAGTTTTTTCTAATTAAATAATGCCATAGTTTTATTGCAATCATTATTTTTCAATTCAGAGCAGATTTTCAGTTAAACAGTGCAAATTTAAAAATAAATTAGTTGATTTACATTCTCCAAGAAGTCCTACATTTAACGAATAAAAAACATTCAGGAAATAGAAATGTTCTTTTGCGAAGTGGGGGTAAAATATGTAAAAACATTTTTTTAATAAAATATTCTAAAAACAAATTTCAAAAATAATGTCGTTCATTTTTTTAATAAGTTCTGAAAATTTCATTAAATTCGGACAATTATTTGAATTTTACAAGAATTTCCAAATCATTGTATTTTCAACGGAAAAAAGCTCAAAAAAGTTAATGTTGTTATTATGCAACCCCGATGATGTAAACAAAACAAGATTTTAACCAAAATTTCGAACGTGTTAGAAATAATTAAAAAAATTTTTTAAAATAATCAAAAAATACTTTGGTCTTTCATCTTGACAATAACATAAACATTTTGACAATAAAACTTTATTTTTATTAAGTTTGTGGCCTTTTTCATTACGTTATGCTGTTTGCCCGCGAAAAAATGGAGGTACCTAATTTTTATTATTGGGTAGTTTAATTCCTTTTGTTGATCCCTGTTTTCTTTTAGCCCTCACGTTACTCATTTATTGATTTATTTTCAATTTCAATGTTTTGCCTAATTATCTTCCTTACTATTATTATTATTATTATTGTTATTGTTATTATTATTGTTATTATTATTATTATTATTATTATTATTTTCTGTAAAGTCGTTGTTCTTCTAATCACATCAATATAGTTCCATGATTTGACACGAGATTATTTCATTACAGACAAAATTTTATTTCATGTTCTTTCAGCAAAAATAACGTTTCCGAAAAATAATTCATTTGTCATGATAGAAATAAGGAAGAACTTTGAAATGAAATAAATAACTACAAAGGAAAGACACATTCATTAGAATGTTTTGTTTTACAATACAACAAACCGCTTTTTAAATAGCTGACAAAAAGACGCCGTAAAAAGAATCATGGAAATAAAAGCTATTATTTCCTTGAAGTGTGATTGTCAGTAAGTCACTTTTTTATTAATACCCTCCTTAAAACTTCCTCATTTGTCATAATCTCTATCCATGATATTCTCAACAATCGTCGGTAAAACTAAAGCGCGATCTTTATAAATTCATCCGTTAGGAGATAATCCATCATCCATTGTTATATAGACGCGTAGACATTACATAGCAGTTTTCTTTTCTTTATTTCGAATACCGTTTATATTAACGTTGATAAAAACGCAGAAAGTATTTATTACTGGAATAAATATTTTATTAATTATTGTTTTATTTTACATTGTGATTTGTTCTTCTTCTACAGTAAAATTATTGTTCCCCACTTTGTTGTCATAGCGATGTTATTGCTAATAAAAATATTCTCTGTAAAGAAAATGAAAAAGGATTTAAACAAAAAAAAGCGAAATACATTTATTTAAATGTAAAATATTTTCTGGCGATAAAAAATCGTCTAGTCCGACACAGTGAATCGACTTTCTTCGCAGCAAACCTAGCAATTGACTTAATATGAACTTTACGCTTAATGGCAGTGACAATCGGGATATATATATATATATATATATATATATATATATATATATATATATATATATATATATATATATATATATATATATATATAAAAGGCTTAAACACTAATATTCCAAGGTCATAATTTATTCCATGGAATAAATTATGACCATGGAATACTAGTGTTTAAGCCTTTTTTATTATATCCTTACATATTATATCCTGGGCATTGAGTTCTACCTGGATTCTATCCTATTGAATTATTTTTATACAAAATATATATGTATGTGTACGCATGTATGTATATATATTTATATATTTTGCATATTTATGTGTATATTTACAACTAATATATATATATATATATATATATATATATATATATATATATATATATATATATATATACATGCATATATACATATATATCCATATATATATATATGCATATATATACATATATATGCATATATACATATGTATGCATATATATACATATCTATACATATATATATATACGTATCTATGCACATATATATACGTATCTATACATATATATATACATATATATGTATACATATACATATATATACATATGTAAAAAATGTATATGTATATAAATATATATATATATATGCAGACAATATTTATATATATTATTTATATATTATATATGGAGGGTACATATCGGAAAGCGCTTAATATTTGTGATAGATCTACACATATATATATATATATATATATATATATATATATATATATATATATATATATATATATATATATATATATATATATACATATATATACATATATATATACATTATATATATATATATATACATATATATATATATATATATATATATATATATATGCATATATATATATATATATATATATATATATATATATATATATATATATATTGTAAATCAGATGTTCGCTAACTACAAACAGGATGAAAAATCATAAAGAATCTCCTTCATGCTAACATATTTTTCATGGATTCTAATAAAAAAAAATAAAATTAATCATATATCATAAAAAATACAACCAGTTTAATTATTCGCAATAACCCTCCCCACCAATTGATATATTACGTAAAACCAACATTATATACCTATTTAAATGTACCCTAGGTAGTATGTCTCTCCGACAAAAAAAAAAACAAAAACCAAAAAAACAAATATATATGTTGGATATACAATTACTCTGACAAGACGTCTTACAATACACATGTGTGACCATCCGTCCATTGCAAGACATCTACAACAATATTCCTAACCCCATTCACAATATAAAAAATACTGATCGACCACACAACTATCCTACAACAAGAAAATAATAAATTCAAGCTTCAAGAAGGTAACCGAAATCGTTAGTACGGAAAAGCTTGATAAGCTATGAATAAAAGGAGACAATATTTAAGAGTAGATTAAAGCTATATAAAACTTTGGTATATCCAGTTTTAACCTACAACAGCGCAACCTGGGGCCTTGCGAAAAAAAATAGCGGGAGTTAGACATTTTCCACAGACAACTGCTAGAGAAAAGTATCCTCATAATGTCTCCAACAAGAACTTGTACAGCAGATTTCAAGAAACTCATTTGTCTTTGTTCATTTTGAAAACAAGATAAAAACTTTTTGGATATATTTTGCGAATGAATCCAGAATGCCCAGCTATCAAAGCCATGTCTTTGAAAAAACTGACTTTAAAAAGAGGTCATCCAAAAACCAGCATAGTCACAACGCTGAACCAAGACATTCAAAGAACAAGGCATACAAATTCCACTTTTCCTTTGGAGAAGTTTACAATCAAGGAAGATCTACAGCGAATCCGCAAACTCACAGAGGACAGAGAATGCTGGTATAGTCGAATCAGTAGACAATGTCATTGAAGATGAGAGAATATGTTAAATCATGACCTCAAATCGAAACAGTTTTGATGATGATGATAATATATTGGGTGTATTTTTCCAGCAAATTTTTTTCAAGTTTGGATGCAAACCAATGAAAGCTCTTTATTTAACGATTTGAGCGATGAGTGTTTTTGTTAATGCACTTTTACAAAAGGTTTTTCTTTCTTCTATGTTGCATTTCAGTTCTGACTTAAACATTTTATCATTCATTGTTTCTTTCTTTTCTTCATCGTCCATATTTACTTCTCTGATTTTCATATTTCGTTTTTCCAGAATAATTCTAAAAATCGCCGATGACAAGATGCCCGAAGATTATAAAGGCTTACGGACACATCACGTTGAAACTCCGGTTCACGTACGATAATGAAAGTTAAGCAATGCCGAGCTTGGGCAGTACCTAGATGTGTGACTGTTTGGAAATACCAGGTGCTGTAAACTTGGATGTGTTGATGATGCAATGGATAATGGCTCGGATTTGTTAATTGGAGAGACGAGTTCTAATTCCAGTTGAATTCGTTATATTCACTTCCGCGCAAATACATCTCTACTCCTCCTAGGTATGGGTTAATTAGTGAGACTTGTATCATTAACACTAGCCCTCACTCTAACCATTATTATCCAAAAATAAATAAACCTGTGTACAAACTATTTAAATTATAGCAGTAAATAAGCCATAGAAGTGTTGATATGCTGCTAAAGAGAAACAAGCAACGAAACTAAGATTTTAGGTTTTGGACTTTTTTTTTCGTTTTTCGATGTGTTTAATATATATATATATATATATATATATATATAGTTTTCCATTTATATATATATATATATATATATATATATATATATATATATATGTATATATATGGTGGACTCTCCCGTTGTTTATCAACGTATGAGGGTCAAGCGTAGGAACCAACAGACACCTACACAGATTATTTGATTATAGTGGTGAAGGTTTTGTGCAGATGTAACTACACTTTTTGAAAAACCTGATGTCGAACGACCATCCGCAAGTTTTGAATTCAGAGTTGTCCTTCTCTAGACCAGTTGCCATCCAAGTCTGTCCTGCTATTTACCCATAGATGGGGTGAGCAGAGAATTCATACCTTTCCCAAGAGTATTACCACATGAGTGAATGTAATGGATTTGACTGGAATTCGAACTCGGCTCTCCGATTCCCTCAATGAGTGTCAGCCGCTATCCACCGTGTCCCTCCTCTCTCTCTCTCTCTCTCTCTCTCTCTATCTATATATATATATATATATATATATATATATATATATATATATATATATATATGTGTGTGTGTGTGTATGTGTGTGTTGGGGGGTGTTATGCGCGCGTGGTGAGAAAGTTGACTTTCCTACCATGATACCCAGGTTCGTATCTCACCGTGATAGATTTATCAGGAAGCTGACTTCTTGATGTTATGAACCTGGGGAGGGGGACACCGTTGGAAAGCCCCTTGAAAGCCCAACAGGTGATATAATTTATATAATTTATCTAACGAAAAGAAAAAATTATAAGATTATCAAATCAAAGCACCTATTCTCTCATATTCAATGAAACGTGCATGAAAGAAGGCTTGCTTCCTAATTACACACACACACACACACATATATATATATTTATATATATATATATATTTTTGTGTATATATATATATATATATATATATTCTATTATCACTGTGTGGGATATCTACTAACACAGTGACAGAAAAAGGCTCTAAATGAAATCGGATATATATATATATATATATATATATATAAATAAAAAGAAAGAACAGTAAGATATAAAATCAGACGACATCCATTCAACTGATGTCAGGTTTCACTGTAAAATACATCCCTACCCCTTACCAAATTGTAGCTAATAACTGATACAATGATACTGACATAAGGAAAATCTAGACATCCCTCGTTCAATTTAAGTAGAATATTCTGTAACCATGGAAACGTGATTTTAGCTGTGTCTTTAAAAACCCGGTAATTTTTAAAAGTTACTCCAAAATTCGCTTGAAGATGAAATGGAACTAATGCTTTTAATTTAATTGCAAAATTAAATTCGGGGTTTTTATTCTATTTTTGAAACATGGTTGGAACTGTGTATGAAAAAAACCATATTTTAAATCAATTAATTTATAATATATATATATATATATATATATATATATATATATATATATATATATCGATTCTCCCGTCGACATTCGACGTATGAGGGTCAAGCAGATCAGTTTTCAGGAAGCCGACAGCCCGACACCGGCACATGAGATTTGATTATAGTGGTGAAGGCCTCGTGCAGGGCCATCCACACTTTTTGAAGGGACGAATACAGAGACCTGATGCACCGAATGCCACAAGGTCCCCAAACGACCCTCCGCAGGTTTTGAATTCAGAGTTGTCCTTCTCCTAGACCAGTTGCCATCCAAGACTATAGAACCCAGTCTGTCCTGCTATTTACCCATAGATGGAGTGAGAAGAGAATTCATTCCTTTCCCAAGGGTATTAGCACGTAAGTGAATGTAATGGATTCGAACTCGGCTCGATATATATATATATATATATATATATATATATATATATATATATATATATATATATATCAAATTTAAGATAAAAAAGTTCTAAAATTACCAGCATCCTCGTTCGTGTCCATGTGTATTCGAAACCAACATAACAAATTTAGTCTAATGATGTTCTAAAGGACGAAACACGTCACAAGTAAACTTTTTCCACTTTGTTATACAGTTTCCCTCATATATATAGAAAGAGAGAAAAAGAGAGAGAGAAAGTGAGATATTTATTTGTGCGCATGCATGCGTATGTATCTCTGTGTGTCTGTCCGCAAGTGGCTGGGGATTACTGTTCAGTATTTAAGTGAATTTCGTCATAAGTAAATTATACCAATATTTACGCCCCGTCTTTTTCCACGAATTTTTTGAATATGTATGCAGCAATCTTACAAAAAACTCTTAATATATCATATTTATTCTTTTAATCCTTGTTAATGTGAAGATCTTGATAATCTGATGTTCCTTGCCTTGATCGGATAACGTCACAAATACTTTATAAACGCATTCATTTTTCTCTCTAATTTAATCGGCTGCACAGATCAAAAAAAGGTTAATAATTTAGAATCCAAGTTTCTGCATTCCTAGAGGCAATGATCAGGGCGAAAACATTCAAATTATATATAAAACGTTCGAATTTATGAATATTTAAAACGTTAAAATTATTAATATATCTGTTCTCAGGATAAAACCCCACATTGTCCTGTGGTTAGAATTCCTGGCTCTCATCAGCCTGAGTTCGAATTCCTGGTGTGGGAACGCTTCAGCCACGACTGTATTTTTGATGCCATAAATATATCTGTTCACAGGCTAAAAGAAATACGAATATTTTGGCATCCCATTATTTTCTGTCTTTGCCGTAATATTTTATTTAATTCACACAAAAAAAAACATCTGTATATTTGGACTTCAATAGATAGTTTCGTATTACTAAAGACATTAATATTTATTGTTACAAAGGAAAGGTATCAATAATAATAATAATAATAAAATGAAAATCGCTACTTACATTTTTTTACTGTTAGTGTCCAGAAAAATGGGTACATCCTATTTTAATTTTTCAGTCAGTGGAGACGCTGTCTACCAATTCAACGGTATAAGTCATTCGACAAATATCACTGAAAGAAAATGAGAGAAGATTAGATGGCCTTGTGCCGTACAAAGTTATGCTCAGTGAATTTCAAAAGAATATCAAATTTGGGTAGAAAAGACGAGTCGTATGCGTCGGAAATGTTCAGACTTGGAAAGAATGCAACGAATCAGGAAATTTTCTTTGATAAAATCGCTTCTTGTATTTCAATGAAAATAAACAGAAATTGAAAGCGTGAGTGTGTGAATTTTATTTGATAGAAAACATACCGAAAGTTATTCGGAGCAATTAGTTGAAATTCTTTTCTATAAAAATCCCAAATCGTCATTCAGGACTTTACTGTTGATAATACCTCAAATTCATAAGAAATTCGCTCAAAAAAAAAAAAAAAAAAAAAAAAAAAACAACTAAAATTACATATCGAAATTATTAATACATGTAAATCTCTGTATTTCCCCATCTAATTGTCTGTCTTATTTATGTTTCGAACAAAGTCCTGGTCTGTACTCCTATAGGATAAATCTCTTTTTAATCAAGCATTTTTTTAAAATGCTGAGGCTCAGTAGCCTGAGATAAAGCATTAATAGCAATAAATAAACAACTAAATACCCAACTTGTATTTCGCGTATTTTGTGTTCACAAATACACGAGGAGAGAGCAATAAATTTTGCTAACACGCACCCACAAGAAATCTGCGAAATAATTTGAGAATTTAATTTAATTTGTTGATAGATATGAACGAACAGAGATAGATGACACTATTACACAACCTTCAAATCCCATTGGCATTTAATAAATTGACAGAAGGAGCCTGTTAGTTGTAGAATTTGCTAGATTGCGGGTCTCGCATGTAACTCATTACAATACAAGTCACCTGCTCCTAGTACTATATGAATATAAGCATTACTTTCAGAATGTTAAAAAATGATCTCACATAAATAGTAACAAAGTTTTTCTCTTATTTTAATTATTTGTTTTCGAAGTCATCATCTATTTCATAGTTCGTCTATATTCTACACAACCTCTGTCTTATTTGGGTGTTAGAGTATGCACATCAAGAGTTGGATGGGGCAGCAAAATTAGAAAATGAATGTCTCGAATGACCCCACCTCAATTTGCAGTTTTCGTAATAGGATTAACCTGTTTTCTCCCGATTGAGCCCAGCTTCGTATCCAGACACAAGATCGACTGCGAATGAAAACATCAGGATGAAAATATATCACCCAATGTCTCGACTTCCAAAGCAAATAATGGTAGAAGTAAGAAAAATATAAGATGGGTGCATTGTGTAACCTCCTGCCAGGCCAAGATACAAAAGCAGGGGTTAGATAAATGCACCCACAAGAAGTTTAACAACAGCCAAAGTTCATTTACATGCATAGACCCAAACAAAAATACATCTATACAAACACACACACACACGCACACGCATACACACACACACACACACACACATATATATATATATATATATATATATATATATATATATATATATTCATATATATATATGGATATGTGTGTTTATTATATATACATATATGAATAAATACACACATATATATATATATATATATATATATGTAAATGAATAAACACAGATATATATATATATATATATATATATATATATATATATATATATATATATATATATACATAAATAAGATTAAAATTCATGAAAAGTGACTAATATAGGGGAAAGATTGTAGACAGTATGGACATAAAAATCAAAGTGCAAGGTCTATTGTCTATTTCTCTCTCTCCCTCCTACAC